ATCTCAGTTCTGAGGCTGCTCTGTAAATAGTTTTCTAATAAACACACATAGCAACTTCTGATCAATCCATATCAATTTCAGATTTAAAATACCGTATTGATGTAAACCACACCCACTAATTTCCAAATAATAAATAAGAGGTGCATTCATCTGTGTATCTCCTTTGATCTGCATTAGTGATGTTTTCAGCACCAGAACAATGAAGCAAAGAAACAGATTCCTGAGTTTATGTTAGTAATTTTATTTATTAGGTGCATCTGACCTGTTCTAGTTTTCTCTGAAATGAGATCAAATCAGTGCTTCTATGGGTCGTCTCCTCTCTGCACTAGAAACATGTACTTTATTATAATGTTCACTGTAATGCATCTTGATGTTCTTAACAAATAAATTAAATCAAAGATATTGGTCAATAATGCCAAATATGTAAATTTGTGTTTCAGTCATTTTTATACTGGCTTAAAAATACTTCATTAAGTCTACTAAGCAGGGGTGTAGAAGGTGTTTAATAGGGCCAGCCCAGTAATGGTCTTGGACCAAAATAAAGGGGGCAGAAAGAAAAAGCGGGGTAAAAGTAGATGTTTTTCCAAACGCCAAGAAAAATTAAATACCAAACCCCCCCTCCTCTGCAAAGTGTGTCACTGAGAGTTTAAAACAGAATTATTCTTGTGCAAATATTGGTGTACTCACCTTTAATACTAGTTATTAAGAAGCAGCAGTTGCTGGATTGGTGCAGTTCAACGTGGAGTGCATCAAATAAAACAATATTAACATAAAGGTGAGACGTGTCATAGTCGTCCCCCCCCCCCCCCTCCTGCATGCTGCATGTTTTCTCCGTCTTCCAGAAAAACTGTAAACTAGATCTCCTACTTTCTAACTAATCAGCCAAAGGGATCTACCCAACACAAAAAAAAGCTTAATATGTGCTGCTCTCCAGCAGCAATGAGCTGAAATCACCGGGGCACAGATTATGAACTCAGCTGAAAAGTACATGAAGTACCAGAGAATATGAGCGGATATAAATGATCACAAACTAATTACTTTGTTTTGGTGGAGCGGTTTTGTGAATATAACAGCGGCCGCGTGCAGGACGCAGCTGGAGGATTTGAGCCGTTACCGCTGCGTCCTCTCTGCTCATAGAATGCCCGCAAAGCTGAGTCCATAAATGGCGTCATATATGTGGATACTGGATCTTTTTTCAGGCTTCCCGCAATTCGAATTTTTAGGAAACCCACATCTTGATTCTGGGTTTAAAAATGCGTTGTAATTACCGCGTTACTGACAACTGTACCGAGTAAATATTACCATTTTCTTTCCCTGTAATGCCTTACATTACCACATTACAGCAAAAAGCAATGCATTACAGTAATTAATTACTTTTGTACCGCATTACTCCCAACACTGGTATTAGATATAGCACCTTCTTGAGTCCTAGAACCCTCTAAGGTGCGTTATAACACAGTCACACACACACACACACACACACACACACACACACACACACACACACACACACACACACACTAAAGTATACAGAGCTCTGAATGACAAGGCAGTGGAAACAAGTCCACATGTGTTCCTGTTACCTGGTGAGCAACAGACCTTTTCTTGTAAGACATTTCGGGGTTTTGCATAATTAAGCAAGCAGAAGTCAAAGATTAATGAAACACACATTATGTCCTGAAAATGTCCTGTAAACCGCTCTAACCTAGTTCAGTCACCTGCAGAGAAGAAGGTAATTTTAGCTTTACGTCCAGTCAGCTCAGCTAATTCACTCATGCAGCTGAATGTTGGAAGGCATGCAGCGGTGAGAGAAGTGAAACGGAGATATCAGGGAGCACTGGTAATGATGCATTCATCACACAATCAAGGCAGACCGCACCTCTTCCATGGAGAAATGGAAAAGGCTTTATTTAATTACTGTTTTCTTTAAGACAAGTGGACCAAAACGGAGCCCAGAGAGGAGATTTGATGACTTTTAGTCCAAACACTTAAAAGCCTCGAGGATGCTGCATCATTTCCAGTGAGTGACAAAAACAACAAGAGATCATATTTCTCACGTTCTGTTCTTTCTTTTCTGATACTTTGTCACCATGTCTTGTAAACTGGCAGGGGTGATGAGGATGAGAGGAGGGATAATTAAGAAAACAAACAAAGAACATGAAAAATGAATATCAAACACATCAGGTAATCTGTGACTGACGCGGATTAAATCTGTGTTGGTGGGAGATGCTGTGATAACCTAGTTTTGCTGCTCTCTTTGACAAACTAGCAGAACTAGATATATCGTGTTTTCGGGGCCCTGAGGATCAACTCTCATCCGTCACACAGAGCAGAAACCCTCATGACTCGGTGCGGTCGCTGCTCTCATACACTGAACAGCATGTTGGTAAAACTCTGGTGAAAGGTGGGTAAACTCCAGCCTCAGAGCCAACCGGACCGTGTCGATAACCACTGCTAGTGGTCTGTGTGGACAGGCCTCCAGATGTGGAAATACAGCTGTCACTGCAGCTAACAAAACTAAACAAGAACACATGCAAACACAGGCAGTGACCTTTGACCTCATCTCATGGTCGTCATCAGCAAGTAGTCGACTGAGCTGGATTATCCTTTTCGTCTGAGAACTAAAATGATAATTATTCTGAAAATACAATGGCTATCTCATGCTTTCTACCTGTTAATAAGGTCTTCGTTGTCATCGCTCTCCATCTCGTCTTCGATGGCCGCCTGCAGGTCACCGATCCTTTTGAAGGCCAGTTTCAGGTCTGCCTGTAGGCTCTGATTAGCAGCCTCTAAGCTCTCGATATCCATTTCCTGTTGATGAAGCAAAAACCACAGAAACGTAGCAGCTTGCTGTGCTCAGATGTTGACTCGATGTGGAAGAACTTACCAGCTCGTGTTTCTTGCGGCTTGCTTCAGCTTCCTTTTTGGCCAGTTCACCCACCTCCTCTTTGGTGTCTCGGATCTGTCTCTGCAAACGTTTGTTTTGCTCTTTCTCGCGGTTCTCGCTGTTGACGCGCTGGTCTCGCTCTTCTGTCAGCTTCTCCAGGTTCTCCTTCAGCCGAGCTGTGAGGTTCTAAACACAACAGGTTTAACAGCACATGCAAACCGTAGGCCTTTACCCGGCGTCCTATACAAGTAATCAGACGCTGTAGTGTGTTTATAGTAGACTATTACAATCATGACTCATTCATGTTAATGTGTGTTACGCCGACATCGTGTGTGTGCCCCTGGACCTGGCCTGTCGGCACCTGCTTTACTTTAACCTGAGAGGAAAAGGCAGGTGGGAATTATCTCTGGTGTTTTCTACATATACTGAGTATTTGTCCCTTTAGTCTCCCCATCTGCTTTACACAGAAACATCTGAATCTGCAATAAATGATATTATCTAGAACATTTGTGCTAGCAGTGGGTACATGCTGAGTGCACAGGTGTGACACGATAACTGGTGAATTAACACTATTCCCACAGCTTTTGTCCTATTGACCCAGCTGACCAGTCCAGTGTCTTGCTGAAGGACACCACATGTGGTGGGGAGCCAGGACTGAACCACAAGCATTCCAGTTGGTCTTCACTGAGCCCAGCAGTATGAACGAACACTACAAACTGGGTAATAGGGCTGTCGCGGTAACCGCAAGAAGAAAATATCGCGATATTAAGAAACCCACCGCGCTGCATGACGTGCCACCGCCATTACCGCACTTGATTAAATCTCGCGACAGCGCATGCTGAGAGGAAAAGTCCGCGCTGATCGAGGAGATAGTACACATGGAAGATGGAGGGAGCAGTGTCAGTGCGTCAGCTGCAGCCCAGCCAGACCTTGGAGCAGGCAGTGCTGCCACCAGCGGCAAAGAAAAAAACGCTTAGAGACCTGCTGAAGTCACGGACAAGGACGTCTTCTGCAACCGTCCCGAAGAGAGTTAGAGCCGAGCTGGAGCTCACTCGCTACCTGCAGGAGGAACCCATTGACCCTAATGAAAACCCTCTGACATGGTGGCGCAACAACCACGAGAGATTTCCATTGCTCTCCAAAGTCGCATGTAAGTACATGTGTATTTGCGCAACAAGCGCACCATCCGAGAGGGTTTTTAGTGTCGCTGGAAATGTTGTCACCCCTCTCAGATCCTCTCTCAAACCGCATAAGGTTAACATGCTGGTGTTCCTTGCGCGTAACAAGGACATGACCGAGTTATAAATCACAGTTACGCCAGGGACACACCGGCCGCGGAAGCGCCGCGAAAATGGGACCGCCTTCATTCGGCGCCCTTGTTAAGCTATTCTAAGCGTCTGATCTGAACTGAGGAGCGGCGAGCAGCGAACGAATTTCGTGAGCGATTCGCTTCTCGGCGCTTCCGCGGCCGGTGTGTCCCCGGCGTTATTCTTGTGTGTGAAAGTGAACTGACAGTGCCTGGGACAGCTCATTTTGTTAGATGTTGAAGCCAAATTTGCATTTCAAAGTTAAACCTCCTGAATGTTGTTTTTAAGTTCAGTCAGAGAATGCCGTTACTGCCCTTCGATCTGCATTTAATAAAGTGTCAAAAATGGCCATGTATTTTTTCTAACATTTTTTAAATGTGTAAGCACAATGTTTCAAAGGAAATATTGCCATGAGTTTAGTAATTAACAAACAAATTTGCTAAGTACATAAATAAAAACGGGGTGCAATAATATCGCATACCGCAATATTGAGCTGCCCTGACTCACCGCAGGGGGAATTCCTCAACCGCGACAGCCCTACTGGGTAAGGGCCCAAAGCAACAGAAAACCAGCTTCCATCCTGCTATCAGCTGCTCGTGTGAACACGTGTTTGGTCTCACCTCCAGACGTTTGACCTGCGTCTTTTCAAACTCCAACTTGGTCTCTAGCTCACGGATCTTGGCCTCCTGACGACTGACGAGAGATTTTTCAACCATGGACTGCTCTTGGAAGTCCAACTGACTCTGGAGTACTTGCATCTAGGTAAGAAAAACACACATCTACATTACTGTACCTGTAAGAGTTAAGCTGTTTTACAGCTTTTAGAGTTTAAAGGTGTTGAACACTCGTTGAATCAACATATTTGCAGTGGTCTCTAGTGGGAATGAATGCCTTTTACGTCTTACTCTGGGGGGAGAGAAGCCCAGAAGCGCCTGTATCAGCAAGGAGGAATCAGCTGGCGAAGAGTGGCTGAACACGACAGGATTTGGAGTCTTTTTTCCTGATATTTGGACATCTTGCCTCTGATTGGCTAACAGCAACACAACTCTACCAGTGACTGCTCTGCACAACTAACAAGCCTGGAGGAGCTTCTGCTATGTGGTGGAGTTGCTAATGCTAATAGCTTGCTTCTAGTAGCCGAGACGTCCCGTTTCCTGGACGTTGAACCAACAACCATGATGCCGAGATCACACTGCAGGTGCGATTTTTGGCCGTCGTAGCCAAATCCCCCGTTCTGAGCAGAACTGTGACTAAAACCGGTGAGGGTGATTTGCGTATCTGAGAACGTACAGTGTGACCGTCTCTGCGACAGCTTTTTGAGCCGCCTCACGACCAAATCAGCCTCAAGAAGTCTTCAAGCATGCTTGAAAGCCTACGACTCCTGTCTGCAATCGACCAATGAAAACACACCTTTGGGACGCCGCAGCAGCAAGACTCCGCCTCTCTGAGCTTCAGTTTCAATTTATGTTTAAAATGCAGATTATAAACGACACGCCAGTTTTTATTTCTGTTAATATCCCAAGTTAAACCGGACGTAGACCTAAACCTACATTTGTAGACCATCAGACCGTGATTCGTCTGTGAGAGTGGGAGGAGATGAGCTCACAAACAAAAAAATTAAAACACAAAACATGAGATCCCTTTGCTGTTGGTGGAAATGTCACATATGCAGCTGACAAGGATGCTTCAGTGTTTTGTTGCAGAGAGGATACTCTGCTCCACGACAGCGGGTGTGATGAGCTCACGGAGCAGAGCTGCGGAGTTAACAGTGAGACAGAATTCACGGCAAACGCTTAGACAATGCAGCGATCTGTGGCAGAGTACTTCTCTGTAGGTTAGTGGGTGTGTATTTATGAAGCAGGATCAGTAGGATGAATGCCCAACAGACAGTTCAGCTGTTTATCTGGAAGACGGGAAAAGGAGACAGGCAGCCGGAGTCTGAGGCCAAAGCGAGGGTTTTTAAAACGATGATTCCCCTTTGAGGAAAATGAGCTGATGCTAAAAAGAAGTGCTAACGGCGACGCTTTAGTTTATCTTTTCAGATTTGCTATGGTTAGCGGTCTGCTGATGTATGCATTCAGGAGGTGTGCTCATGACGTGGCATGTCCTGCAAGAGTGAGATGTCGTGCAGTCTGCCTCACTGAAACCTTTCACCATGCAGTGAGACATGAGCAATCCTGTGCGACGGCCAAATATCGCACAGTGTGATCCAGGCATAAAACAATACCATCATCAGTGTACAGCAGCAGATGATCTGTCACCTTTGACCTTTAGCCTGGTGCGCTGCACAACCAGTAGGCTTTGGTCACTGGACCTCAGGGACCTGCTGGGGGTGTAGGGACTAAGAAGATCACCAATGTAAGATGGTGCTTGTCCATGTAAGGCCCTATAGACCAGAACCAGGATCTTGAGATGAACCCTGAAGGTGACTGGCAGCCAGTGAAGCTGGAGGAGAAGCGGGGTGATGTGGGTGTGTTTGGAGGACTTGGTCAGAAGCCGAGCACAGGCGTTCTGAACCACCTGTAGACGGTTCAGGGAGGTTCTGCTCAGACACGTGAAAAGAGAGTAACCCCCAAATTCCACTACCTCCGCTCCGCTCCGGTCCGCCCCCGCCTTCCGCAGCCGCTCGCTTCCGAACTCAATTTTTACTGGTACCCGCTCTACAACGGCTCCGCTCCGGTGCGGAGACCTGAGGGGGGCAAACAGGCATGCGCGGGATTTTCGAGATCTTGCGATACAGTCCGAGCAATAAACGCGGAAGTTAGATCCAAACACCCGTTGTGTGGGAGAAGCATCGGCATGAACTGTTTAATCTGCCCATCATGTGTGTTGAGAGATCAGCAGTGTTTGGATCAACAGGGTGACTACTTTGATAGTAGAAATTGTATTTATGGCTTACTTTTGTGCATTTAAACTTCAGCCGCCACTGATAGTTGTTAAAAGTTGTTACACCTGTGCATATGAAACAAAAAACGCCTTTTGTTTATCGATTTATTGTGAAAAACGGAAGTTGTGCTCGCTCCTTTTCCTGTTGGACGGTTGTGATTTCTGTCCATTTACTGCGGAGGTGCTCCGGCGTCCGGCGAAAATAGGATCGATTCTATTTTTGCCGGACGCCGGAACAGAGGGCGGCGCACGGCGCCGCACTGCCGGAGCACGGCCGCAGTAGTGGAATTGCTCCGATTGACTACAACGGGACCGATTTTGCTCCGGCGTTCGTGTCGGAGCGGAGCGGAGGTAGTGGAATTTGGGGGTTACAGTAGTCTAAGCGTGAGGAGATGAAGGTGTGGAGAACTGTCTCAAGTTCAGAGCGGGACAGAATGGGACTCAGCTTAGCAACGTTCCTGAGATGGAAGAAGGAAGAGCCAACAAGAGAACTGACATGAGAATCCAGGGTGAGAGCTGGGTCAAAGGTCACGCCAAGATTCCTGACAGAAGGTTTGGTGTGGGAAGCAAGCTGACCAGGGTTTTCCCCAGAGAACTTGGGGGGGGGGGGTGTTAGCGCTACCATTCCTCATCCATGAGAGGGGAGCGCACAGATCGCTCTGCTACAGATTCTCATCAGTACCAGCAGAGGGGAGCCCCGTGGTTCGTTCTTTTCGCTGCTGGGGGTTGTCCATGTCAGCGGAGAATGTAGGGCCAGGGAGCGGGGGACCACCCAAAGCCTGGCGAACTATGTTCATCAAGAGCAGCTGTGAGTTGTTTAGCCACAACCTTTTCCAAGATCTTGGAGATGAACGGAAGTTTAGAGATGGGTCTGAAAAGTTTGTGCGGCTTATTCTATTGAAACGTTTGAACTGTTCAGTCCTCCAGCTTCATTTTGACAACTGTATGGTGGTTTAGTATGCTAGCTAATGGTGTGGTGTTTTAATGATGGAAAAAACGGCAGTCTTTAGCTTTCTTAGTTTATTTTCAACTTCAAAATCTCTGCAGGCCAGCACCACCAACAATCTGGAAAAACCCCACAAACGGGTCAAGACGTGCAGAAACCACCAAACGGCTCGCTTCTCTGCCAGGCTGACGACACACACACACATGCCAGAGGTAGGGCTGTGTTGAAGAAATCGATTCTCTGATTCTGAATTGATTCTCATTCACGAGGATCTATTCGTACGTCCAAAGATCAATTTAACCCTTTAAGCACCAAAGTCGCAAAATTGCAACAAGTGTCATTGCTGACTTTTACGAGCCACAGCTGCAAATAATGAAGTTACTACTTTACACCTGGAGAAAGTGGAGATGTTTATCTTCAGTAGTCTGAGCAACACTGTGGGTGTGTTTACATTCAACCTTTCTGAGTTTTTGGACCTCCTGCAGGGAGGCTCCCGGAGGACGAGAGGAGGAGACGAACGCAGCATACGTAGGATGAATATTATAGGGAAAAACTTACAGTTGCTGACAGGTCTGGCCATAGTTGACTCTCTTTGTCTGATAATGTCTGACACCCATTCAGAAGAATATTCACACTCATCCAGTCAGAGAAGGCGATACTGCTGCTGCGCAGACCAGAGCAACAGAGTCGGTGCCTCACGTGAAGAAGGTAAAGCTAATGGAGCTTAAACGTTCCACACGCCAGTTCTGAAGCTTTCTCACCGTGTTCGGGACATGGTGGATAGGAAGGACAGTAGAAACACTGCTAATGATGACAGATGTAGCGGGAACGTAAAAAAACTCATAAAAAATGGCAGACGCGTTAAGTATGGAAGTCAAAGGGTGCCACATAAAGAGAGAGGCCAAGTTTTTTTACAGAACAATGGTATTGGTTGCCATTGGTGTGTGGTGAGTATTTTGAGCAACATGGCAAAACTGCTACAGAAAAGTGCCTTCTACGTCATCCATGGTGACTTGGTCCTAAATACATGGCAGTATATGGATGGATATAATGTATTTTGAATAATCATGAGAACTTTGACTTGATCCAGTTTTTGCTCAACTAGTGCTTTTCTCATGGCTGAGCCTGCCTTAGATGGACACATGTTGTTATTCTTGCAGTCATTAAAAGCATGTACACACTTGTCTGACTTGTATAACAAGTTGGCCGTCTGAGACAGTCTCACCAGAATGACACATCATGGTTGTATTTGTCAAGAGACCAGAAAAGGAACAATCTGGGGTTCCGTTCGTAACAGAAGCTGCAGCAGACTCCCTTCACCGGGAAATCTGCATTTTATAACATGCTCAGACTGATCGTAAAGATTTGCTGCCTTCAGTGAATACATGATCAAGACTGAGTGATCCTTCAATGGAGCCCCTTGATAAATGTTTGCTGCAGATTGATGAATGGCTCTGAAACCGTTTTTACCCAGAGGAACATCAGGAAGGGACATCTTTATGGCGGAAAACCAAATGTCCTCCTCTGAAGAGATCTGAACCACCTTTGTCAGCTTCAGATGTCTGCAGAAGTTCAGATAACTGAACAGTTTCTACACAGTGGCGTTGCTTCTTGCTGTTGTTGTAACTAACCTTTTCTTGAACCTCCTGCTTCTCCTTAAGGGCCTCCTCCAACTGGGATTGCAGGTCGCTGATTTGAGCCAAGTTTTGAGCCGACTGAAAAATCAGAAGAGTCCGTAAAGAAACGTACACTGGTTGGTAAAAATCCTGTGTTTTTAACAGCTTTGTATTTAACTCAACAGATAAACTAACATTCCTAGTTTTATTACCGTACATAAGCAAATAATCCTTTTAGATGAAAATTTAGACCAATTACAAGATGAGATGATGTTTGGGATTAAAACCTTTAATCTCCTTGGATGGACAATCAATAAACAGCGACATTAGCTATTTTACACTACACTAATGAAGACCAGGGAGAACAGAGGGGCAGGTAACCTGGGCCACAGCAGCTTTGTGTTTTTTCATCAGCTCATTTAGGTCCTCCTGGTCCTCCTCCATCCTGGACTGCAGGTCGTTCTTCTCTCTCTGAAGACGGCTCAGCTGTTCCTCCAGCTGAAGGACAGAAACATACAGTCACATTAGAGGAAAACAGACCAAACCAGTTGTTTTATGGCACATACAGATTCTGTTTCTTTCCTTCTCCAGGCAGCCATGCTGTGACTTAGCAGATGTAGACCCTGTAGACAGAGGAGGACTTCCCCTGTGGCGAGCCCTGACTGGCTGCTACAGAGGCCACTGCTCCATTTAAACTTCCTGTAATCACCTAAACATCTGATTGAAGCTCCTTTCTGACGGGAGGGCTCTAGTGGAAATGATACTTTATTCCTGTAATGTGCAACAAGTGGGAGAGAGGTCGCTGGTGCAGGCCACTGCATGCATAAAGGACTACTGTGACTGAGTACGAGGCCAATAAATCCTTTAGCTCACAGAGAAGATCAAAGAAGTCACCACCAGGTCTGAGTCTGAACTGTAAACTCAACCAATAATGATAAAATATGCACAGTGCATCCGGAAAGTATTCACGGCGCTTCACTTACTCCACGTTGTTGTTTATGTTACAGCCTCATTCCTAAATGGATTACATTCATTTTGCCCGTAAGATTCATCACACAACATCCCATAATGATGAGGTGAAAAAAGTGTGTTTGAAGTTGTTGCAAATGTATTAAAATTAAAAACTTGAGAAATTACATGAACATAAGTATTCACGACCTTTACTCAGTACTCTGTTGATGCACCTTTGGCAGCAGTTACAGCGTCTAGTCGTGTTGAATATGAAGCCACAAGCGTGCCACACATACAGTGGGGAAAAAAGTATTTAGTCAGCCACCGATTGTGCAAGTTCTCCCACTTAAAATGATGACAGAGGTCAGTAATTTACACCATAGGTACACTTCAACTGTGAGAGACAGAATGTGAAAAAAAATCCATGAATTCACATGGCAGGATTTTTAAAGAGTTTATTTGTAAATCAGGGTGGAAAATAAGTATTTAGTCACTTCAAACAAGGAAAATCTCTGGCTCTCACAGACCGGCAACGTCTTCTTTAAGAAGCTTTTCTGTGTTCCACTCATTACCTGTATTAATGGCACCTGTTTGAACTCATTATCCGTATAAAAGACACCTGTCCACAGCCTCAATCAGTCAGACTCCAAACTCCACTATGGCCAAGACCAAAGAGCTTTCGAAGGACACCAGGAAAAGAATTGTAGACCTGCACCAGACGGGGAAGAGTGAATCTACAATAGACAAGCAGCTTGGTGTGAAAAATCAACTGTGGGAGCAATTATCAGAAAATGGAAGACATACAAGACCACTGATAATCTCCCTCGATCTGGGGCTCCACGCAAGATCTCATCCCGTGGGGTCAAAATGATCATGAGAACGGTGAGCAAGAATCCCAGAACCACACGGGGGGACCTGGTGAATGACCCGCAGAGAGCTGGGACCACAGTAACAAAGGTCACCATCAGTAACACACTACAACGGCAGGGAATCAAATCCTGCAGTGCCAGACGTGTTCCGCTGCTGAAGCCAGTGCATGTCCAGGCCCGTCTGAAGTTTGCCATAGAGCAGATGGATGATACAGCAGAGGATTGGGAGTAGGGCTGCAACAAACGATTATTTGGATAATCGATTAATCGGATGGGGTCTCGACACGATTAATCGATTAATCGGATTACATGGGGAAATTTTTAAAAACTGCTAGGGAAACGTTATTTCTCTCCTTCCTTCGCTTTATTTAACACAACATTATTAGAAAACAGTTCAATAGCAGAAAAACAACATACCATCACCTAAATTGACTTATAAGGTGTATAGACAGAGACCCTAAGCTACATCTATCTGTGACCTAAAATGCTTGGTCCAAGTTAAACAGCTTAAGGGCAATTCTCATCTGTTTTGTTTGATCTCATCTGTTGACATTTATTTTAAATGTAATTAAACATAGGCTGTGAATTAATCAAAATTGATCACTATTTCCAAAAATGACTGAAAAAATACCAAATAAAACAAAAGTAAATGAATGCCATCCTCCTTGCGATGATGCCCTGGGCAACTGCCATAAAGTCACATCAAGAAATGCTGCTGATCATTCCAATGATCCCAAATAGACTCACATTAGGCCACATGAAAGCAACTGAACCCAAAAATATATTAACCAGTATATAACTGCACTCTCACACAACACGCCTGCAGCAACAGTTAGGACTCCTCCCTCCCTTTTAAAAGCGTTTTTGCTTCCGAGGACATTGTGGTTGTAAAACCACATGCTAGTAGTCTGGCCCCGGTGTGATCAACCAGTTTCTGTGGAAATGTGACGGCGGAACCAGGGCCAGATTAACACTTTGTTGTACCCTGGGCAACAATATTCAAGGGCTCCATCATCACGACCCAAGGATCACCATAATGTGGTCACATACAGAATATTTTACTGTAATATGCAGTAAATATACTCAATACTTGAATGCCTGACAACACGTAACCCGCCCAGAGTAACCTTTGACCCACCTCGTGTGGACTGACCAATGAGGAGAGGGTCTTAACTTGAGGCCCTCTCTTCATTTGTCATTCTGCATGAGACTGACTCTCAACTGACGTTCAGTCGTAGGCAGCGAAGCGTCTCTGTGCAGCGCAAAAGCCCGGGTGGACAGTTTGTTTAATGTAGGGTGATCATATTTCCATTTCCAAACAAGAGGACAGGGGATCTGTGCCTATGACGTCACACTATGGCAACGCCGCACAAACCATGTTGGGACCCATTTTTTGTAAGAACTAAATTAATATCAGATTCTGCCAATTAAAGGGCTCTAAAACAATTCATATGTAAATATTTTGCATATTTAATGCAAAATCTAATTTTTCTGCTTTAGTGCTGCAACAAGGTTTTATTAATAATAAATTATTATACCTTTTGTTTTACTACAGCATCGGTAAGCTTCCTGTGCACAGATTATTAAGGATGCTTGTTTCAGCTGTGAGATTAGACGATAGGATCAATGAAAAAATAAGTTGTCACACACTCCATGGAAACTTCCAGAGAATCCACAAATAGTGGCTTTCAAATGGTTTTGTTACTTTTTGCAAGTTTATAAAAGAAGCAGATGAGACAGCATGTCTGATAATTTAGTTTTTCATCTGATATATTAGAACATGTCAGTAATGTCTGAGGGGCTTTTATAAACACCGTATAACTAACACTACTGGAGAGGGCATGAATTACACAGAGGCTTCTGGGGAGCCCAGTTATTGGGGGGGGGGGGGGGGGGGGGGGGGCATTTAGCCTTGGCCCCCAAAATGTCTTGAAACGGCCCTGGGTGTGTGACTGAGTTTTGAAGGTGATCTGAATTGTATCAGATGTATAAATATGACATGTGTATAACTTATTGTTTTTTACTGGTAAAAACGTGTAGTGGAGATAAATCTACCTACATTTTACTTTTCAACACTTTGTTTTGTTTTCTTGTTTTTATTGAACTATTTCCTGTCCTGTCTGTCTCTCATCTTCCTGCATCTCCTCTAAACTCTCCAGAAAATCTGCTGCCTGGATTCTTACTTTTTCACCTCATCAGTTACTTCTGAGCAGATCAAAGATCTCCTGACCGAAAAGCGCAGAGCACGTTTTCGATGCTGCGTGAGGTGACATCACCACAGCACAGGTGATGAGCTCCGCAGTAGCGCGCTTCAGGCACAAATAAGACAGAAAATAGAGAACATGTGCGGACATGAACGATCGTGTGCTAATTATAGTTTTTTGGTTGCGCCACTTTGAGAATGGACCGTGCGCTGGAAGCAGCTGCCTGGATCGCTGCACAACAATGCGGAACCGGTTCGCAGCAGCGCAAGTCTGCCGGCTCTCCCTCGCGCTGATCTGACTTGCTCTGGTCTGCGCGCAACGGCGGGCGGGAAGGGGGGGGGGGCGCTTTTGGAAGAGTTGTGCGACACAACGAATCGATGACGCAATTCGTTGCCAACGCTTTTAGTAATCGATTTTCATTGAATTTATCGATTCGTTGTTGCAGCCCTAATTGGGAGAATGTCATGTGGTCAGATGAAACCAAAGTAGAACTTTTTGGTATAAACTCAACTCGTCGTGTTTGGAGGAAGAAGAATACTGAGTTGCATCCCAAGAACACCATACCTACTGTGAAGCATGGGGGTGGGAACATCATGCTTTGGGGCTGTTTTTCTGCTAAGGGGACAGGACGACTGATCCGTGTTAAGGACAGAATGAATGGGGCCATGTATCGTGAGATTCTGAGCCAAAACCTCCTTCCATCAGTGAGAGCTTTGAAGATGAAACGTGGCTGGGTCTTCCAACACGACAATGATCCCAAACACACCACCTGGGCAACAAAGGAGTGGCTCCGTAAGAAGCATTTGAAAGTCCTGGAGTGGCCTAGCCAGTCTCCAGACCTCAACCCCATAGGAAATCTGTGGAGGGAGTTGAAAGTCCGTGTTGCTCGGCGACAGCCCCAAAACATCACTGCTCTCGAGAAGATCTGCATGGAGGAATGGGCCAAAATACCAGCTACTGTGTGTGCAAACCTGGTAAAGACCTATAGTAATCGTTTGACCTCTGTTATTGCCAACAAAGGTTATGTTACAAAGTATTGAGTTGAATTTCTGTTATTGACCAAATACTTATTTTCCACCCTGATTTACAAATAAATTCTTTAAAAATCCTGCCATGTGAATTCATGGATTTTTTTCACATTCTGTCTCTCACAGTTGAAGTGTACCTATGATGTAAATTACTGACCTCTGTCATCATTTTAAGTGGGAGAACTTGCACAATCGGTGGCTGACTAAATACTTTTTTGCCCCACTGTATCTTTGGGCAGTTTTGCCCGTTCCTCTTTGCAGCACCTCTCCATCAGGTTGGATGGAAGGCGTCGGTGCACAGCCGTTTTCAGATCTCTCCAGAGACGTTCAATGGGGTTCAGGTCTGGGCTCTGGCTGGGCCACTCGAGGACATTCACCGAGTTGTTCTGTAGCCACTCCTTCAACACTTTGCTGTGTGCTTAGGGTTGTTGTCCTGCTGAAAGGTGAACCGTTCTGTACATTGCTGCAGTCATCTTTCCCTCTATCCTGACTAGTCTTCCAGTTCCTGCCTCTGAAAAACATCCCCAAAGCATGATGCCGCCACCACCATGCTTCACTGTAGGGTTGGTACTGGCCTGGTGATGAGTGGTGCTTGATTTTTCCATTCACTCGTAAGGGTTCAATTTTTGTCTCATCAGACCAGAGGATTTTGTTTCTCATGGTCTGAGAGTTCCTAGGTGCCTTTTAGCAAACTCCTGGCACGCTGCCATGTGCTTTTTACTAAGGAGATGCTTCTGTCTGGCCACTCTACCATACAGGCCTGATTGGTGGATTGCTGCAGAGATGTTGTTCTTCTGGAAGGTTCTCCTCTCTCCACAGAGGACCGCTGGAGCTCTGACAAAGTGACCATCGGGTTATTGGTCACCTCCCTGGCCAAGACTCTTCTCCCCGTTCACTCAGCTTAGAAGACCGGCCAGCTCTAGGAAGAGTCTTGGAGGCTCCAAACTTCTTCCACTTGCGGATGATGGAGGCCGCTGACATGTTTCTGTAACCTTCCCCAGCCTTGTGCCTCAAGACAATCCTGTCTGGGAGCTCTACTCTCAGTTCCTTTGTCTTCATGCACCGTCAACCCAGATATAGACAGGTGTGTGCCTTTCCAATCACGTCCAATCTACTTCATTTACCACAGGTGGACTCCAGCTAATCTGCTGAAACACCTCAAGGATGATCAGTGGAACCAGAACGCACCTCAGCTGCTCAATCTGAGCTTCACGTCAAACGCTGTGAATACTTATGTTCATGTGATTTCTCAAGTTTTTTATCTTTAATACATTTGCAACAACTTCAGACACCTTTTTCACATGATCATTATGGGATGTTGTGTGTTGAATCTTACGGGCAAAATGAATGTGATCCATTTTGGAATGAGGCTAAGCAACAACGTGGAATAAGTGAAGCGCCATGAATACTTTCGGGATCAAGAAGTTAGAAGACGGAACAAACCAACCTGATGACTCCATGTGAAGCGGTTTTGTTGTGAAGAACATGTGCATTTGATCATACAACGCTAAATCTGACTCCTCTAGTTAACGTCACCCCCTCAGGAACAAGGTGCACTTTGGTCTCCAGTTATCTTTGTGATATCCGGGTCAAATTACTTTACATGTCACAGCTTTCTTCTTTAAATCCTCACTGAGGGCTGATGAACGTGTTGAGGAAAACCTCAAGCTGATGGATTCTTGAACCAACAAACAAACCTGTGGGATGAGCTCTGACTAGCCTGATAAGTCATCTAACCCAGGCACTGATTAGATAAGACTCAAAGGCAGACTGGGTCAATAATTAGGCCGACCAAGCGTGGACGGGGTTAACATACGGTCTGCTTAGCTTTGGAGATGTCCTCCATTTGAACGTGCAGGTCTTCGATCTCCACCTCCATGGACTTTCGAGCTTTCACAGCTGATGCACAGGTGAACTCGGACTCCTCCAGCTGCAACAATAAATGGATGTTTCTCTTTAATCATAGTTACAACTAAATGAATGCTTTTTGGATGCTGAGGCTACCTGTGGAAGATGTGGGGAGTTGAATCTGAGATGAGCAGCATTACATAACTTCATAAACTTCATGTATTCAGCTAAATCAGGGATTTGTTTACACGTAACATTCAACACCAAATGATTGGCAAAGGGCTTGGCCCACCACCAATAGTCGATTAACTCATCCAGTCACCCAACCGTACCCTAGAAAACCACTCTCAGGGCCTTTGATCAGACTAGAGACCGCAGAACATTTATCAAAAGAACGACTGTTTAACAATCAACTTGACTCTGATGTGGACGTTGGTAGAGTTCACGGAGATGTGTGGAGGCTTTACTGATCCAGGAACTACACACAGCTGCGTCACACACAAATATAACTAACACCATAAAGTGAGGTTTACTACGATCTCAGAGGCTTTGTGTTTTCGTGACTGGCTGGTTGTAACGAGTTTGGGGTTCCTACAGCCCTGACTGCTCAGACGGCTGATGGTGGACGGTTACCTGGTTCTTTAGTTGGGCGATCTCCCTCTTACTGGGTGCGTTGTTCTTGATGTGGTCCAACATGATCTGGGCATCAGCCAGTAGAGCCTTTGTCCTCTTCAGGTCCTTCCTCAGACGTTTCTCAGTCTCTACATCACCACTTTTCTCCTAGGAGACAGGTTCACACAGGTCATCGGACTCAGCAGCATCAGTGGGAATGTCCATCAGCTCTACTCTCCACAGGAAACTGTCTTGTTTAGTTATGAAAGTGTTCCTTTCTGGTGAGATAGATTGTTTTAAAGTTAGCTACAAAGACGGATTAGACTTGTCTTATCTAAACACACCT